TGTGTGTGTGTGTGTTTCCTCTCCCCATGGCCCGCCTCTATAGGAGCCGGTCTTTGCCTCTACTTTCTCTCCTCCTCCTGAGCCTCCTTTCCATACTCCCTCCCCTGATGATTCAGCCAGTCAGGTAGGATGTTGCATCAGCTCTTGCCGCATGCATTGCTTGACCTTTTGCTTGCTTTCCCCCTCTTCCACCTACTTGAACAGGCCCTGAAACCAATACACAAAGCCCATTGTTTTCAGTTGCCACTTCACTACTTGATTTGAAATACCCTGTATGGAGAGTGTCAGCCATACTGTTTGGCACTGCATTCTTTCACATTACAAACCCTTTCACCCCGAAACAGACTTGACAAACCAAGTCTTTCTCCTCCGTCAGCTGCATCCATGCTGGTCAAACGACCACAGCAAGTGCACATTATGATCAGTAGTGCTCTGCAGTCCTTCACAGCCACCCTGCTCCTGTTTCATGCCACTAAATATTCCTCCCCGTCCCCAGGCTTTGTCGCTTTGCCTATGAACATAGCATGGCAGCCCCTGCAGCTTCTAATTGCCCGTGCTGAGCTTGGACATTTTCCACCATCTTTTTCATCCTTATCTCTAAATCCTCATCCTTTCTTGCCCTCCTCACCCCCACCCCTCTGGTTGTGAAGGCCGCAGGATCTCCCAGACCCATGCAGGTGGATGAGAGACACCCCTGGAGACGGAAGGTGACCCTGTCAATACTGTATACAGCGCTCTCGCCAATCCCCACCCCCCAGCTACCCCTCCCAAGTCAACGCAGTGGTGTTGGAGTTATGTTATAGTTCATCACTAAAAGACTCTGTCTGCTAGTTTTCTTTGTCTTCGCTTTAACTTTCATTTCCACCTTACAAATGACACTAAAACATTTCATTTCTCAGGCTTGTGCAACCAGCAGAAAGAATGAATGTTGGGGAAATAGCTTGTTTTCAATGTGACGCAGGGATTAATGTGCTTCTTGTGTTTTAGTTATCCCCCTTTGGTGTACTTGTTTTGCTTGGCCACATTGTCTGTTTGATGTCATTCTTCTTCTTCCACAATTCCACATTCAAATGTAAGATGCAGCGTTGGTTCCATCTTGTTGTTTGGTCGTGTGTTTTTCCTTTTACTGTAGTGTACAGAAATTAACATCTTAATATACTTTGCCTAATATGGGCCTTATAACAGTGGTAGTAACAGAAGAATAGTAATTTTCCCTTAATAACACTTCATTAATATGGTCTACTTATATGTAACAACACAAACTTCAAGTGTTAACAGTGTCCAACAGTGTCTATTCTAAAGTGAAGTCTGCCTTACTATCAATAAACAGTAATTAGGATAACTAACTAGGATTAACTAAGAAAAACTCTTAATGATCTAGTAGTTGTATAATATTCTCATGCAGAATAAGGCATTCATAAGTGCTTTATAATAAAAAGCAGTAGTACAGATACAGTGATTTAAAGTGGTTCCTGGAATACATCGAACATGACAACCTGATGATATGTCACGGTGCACATGTACTCTAAGGTGGACTATTCCTTTAACTTTCAGTGCATCAGGAGTATTCAGTGTCTTTGACAGTAGCTTCTCTCTCTTTTCATAGAGAATAGCTGATGCTGAGATGGAGTGCCAGAGCATCGAGGCCCACATGTCCATCCAGGAGCGGAAACAGCTGATAGTAGCCCAAGAGGAGGCCTGGAAGACCAAAGGCTACGGAGCCGCCAACGACTCCACCCAGTTCACTGTGGCCGCGCGCATGGTGAAGAAAGGTCAGAGGGCATCGTTGTGACGAGAAACCAAACACAAATACTTCCTTTCCATCGCTCAGGGGTTTATGCACACATTCACTGTATTGCAGTCAGTCATTACACCACAGAGTCCACAGATCAGTCTCAGCTCTCTGCCCCAAATCCTCCAAAGCCCCCTTTTCAATTAGCACTTGACTAATGACTCCTTTTCCCTCCATCAGGCCCAAACACATCAGGCCAGACAAGCAGCTGAGAGGACACTGCTCAGGCGCAAAGTTATTTTATGGTTGGAGTTGTTCCCTATTAGCTCCAGGCTTGGTCAGAAGGGGGCAGCTGCTGGGAGGTTTAATCTGTGCTTTGGGGGAGTCGATGGGTTTGGTCAGATTATGGCTGATGGAGAGAGGCAGAGGAAGGATTAGCATCAGAAACTTTTGCCTCAACCATCTTCAGAGCAGTTAAGAAGTAGTAAACAATGACTGTTTGCACCATTCCAACAGAAGGGGACCTTTAATACTGCTGCTTACAATTCCTCGTTTTATGAAGCATATGACGGTCACTCACCTTTTCACTCAACAATCCACTCACTAGCTCCTTATAGTTGATTCTTTGCATTTTGGATTCGGTTCTAATTTGGACCTGAATTTTGGTCCCCAACCCTATACAGACACATACCTGTTGTTTTCTATTAAAGCCCACAAACTGGCACCCTGGGCCACCTCTTTTGGTCTTGCCCCAAGCTAAACAAGTTCTGGTTAGATATTTTTAAGTGCTTTTCTGAAGTATATAACTGTGATATTACACCAGATCCTTGCACTGCCATTTTAGGCGGGGCCCGACATCTATTAGTTCTATCCCACTTGCAACAAAAGACAATAAAATATGGCGTGGTTGTTGCAAAAAGGAATATTTTAACCCTTTGGAAAAATGAAGATGTGCCTTCTTTTAAAACCTGGCTAGCAGAAATAACCAACTTGTTACATATGGAAAGGGTTCGATATAATGTTTCTCTCAGCTCTGCAACCTTTGACAAATGGCAACCATTTCTGTCTTATATATCTTATATATGTCTATGTATATATGTCTGTATATATATGTCTGTATATAGGCTACTGCATATGTGTACACGTACTATATGTATATGTATGTATCTCTTGATCAATGAAGCATTGTAGACATCCATTCAGTGGCTGGTGCCGATAGTTCTGCTAATTGTATTGCTTTGTATCCTATAAGAGCATGTTTTTGTTTTGTTTTTTGTTTGTTTGTTTGTTTTTTTCTATTTCTTTATCCCTGAGGGTGGGGGGCGGGGGGCTAATGATTATTCATGCAGACATAATTTGTAGTTAATCTGATTTTCAAAACTGTCCCTTCAAGATTAATCACTTTCTGCATCACAGAATATCTGACTGGAGAATATGTCATAATGAGGGAACAGCACAATGCCATTGTAGGAAAATGATTTAAATTTTAATCCAGTCCTACTGAAATGTGTAAATTTTTGTCTACATTTTTCAAATAACTGCTCATAAAGCAACATCTTTAAACCCACAGTTAGCGTGATCTATTAGGTAACATATGTAATAGCTCAGTGCCAGTTGACCAATAGTGACACTAAACGCGCTAGCAGATTAGCTCATTAATGGTAGTGCTAGCTCAGCTAGCTCTGTCAGTCACCTACCCCTCACCCTGAAGGTCTGTTTATGCCCTGTGTTCATGCTACATTAGTTGGCCTTAAGCAAAGTGCCAGTGTCTACAAATATGCCTAATAACAGTAAATGACTTGCTCTGTGGTGTAAATTGAACCAACATTCTGGTAATGTTCCAAATTTTGACATAAAACTTCTTTTTTACAAATTGTATGTGCCATACCAGACGTCGAGCACAGTAACCACGCCATGTGTTTTTGGGTCATTGGATGTTCATGCCTGTCTGTGTTCATACAACAGGGTTGGCCTCCCCTTCGACCCTCCAGTCTCCAGTGTCATCCAAACCCAAGAACAGCAACCCTGCCATCTCCAAACCACAGGAAGGTCAGTTTTACTTTTTATACTGCTTTTCTGGCCATACTACACTCTGGTGTCCTCTGGTTACCTGTTATGTCACACTGCTGTTATGTGGAGCAGTTCAGTTCATTTAGTTGCGTTATTAAAGACTGGAGTGCTCAGCTGCTGCTCCAATCTGATTTAGACTTAATGACATGACTTTGTTACGTCCTCAACTGTCACCAGACACACATTTTCCAAAACAAATTCTGCATACAGTTAATCAACCGAAACATCTTTAATTTAGATGGACATCTGTTTAATGTGATTTCTGAGACATTGAGCTGACACTGACGCTGAATTAGTTTTTTTGTTTTGTTTTTCTGGCTTGGATTGTATTTGAACACAGTGTAATTGATTGTCTTTGCTTCTCTTTCCAAAGACATGGAGGAGATGTCTGATAACGAAGGTGTATTCCCTTTATTTTTGGTGTTGCACTGAATGCAATGTTCATAACCATCACCAAAACCACAAATATCATCAACACTAATGTGGCTGATGTTGCTGTGAGACTTCTATTAGGTCATCAAAGACTAATAGAATATAAACCATGGGATAGTGTTGCCATATATGCATGAGTCTGAAGTGCAGAAGAATCTGTATTTAGTGGCTGTTAACTGTTGATAAAATGCTTGTGACTGACAGCTGTGGTTGTAAATTACATATGTTCAGATTAGCTTCATTGTGACTACTATGCAACTGTTCATGCTCAGCCACAGTTCAAAGTCAACAAGTGTGACTTTGAACAACAGAACATCAGACTGCCTGCCTGTTCAGAGATGGCCTCTGCTAAAAGCAAACACAGAGTAAATTTATGTCTCTAACAGCTGTGTGTGTGTGTGTG